TCAGCTCATAAAGGAATGTTTTGAACTCATAGTTATTGGGTGCTCTATGCAGAAGCATTTTGTATCTAACAGAGCTCAATTACTAATATGCTCCAATTCAGGACCCCCAAGAGACCACCAGAGACCAGGATCGATGTAATCAGCAAAGAGGTGTTTATTTTGAGCTAGCTTGATTCTCCACACGCTCACAGCAACTGGTGACGCTGAGAGGCCCTGAGCCCAGGGTTTGCAGCAGTTTTATACACTCTTTGGGGAAGGCAGGGACTTCACATACATCATAGCATCTGTTAGCAAATCATCACACATCTTGGAAAAATCAAACAACAACTCTTAATATTGATTAGCACATTCACTGGCGGGAACAAGTTGGGTAAGGGTGATTGGTTAGTACAAGAGGGGGATTCCTTTGAACTGATTGGTTTAAGCCACGAAGGGAGTACGTGCTGAATTACATGGTTTCCCAACATGTTATCAACCACCATAAACTACTGGGAGGGTCATCTGGTATCCCAGGTATTTTCCCTGTCTCATGCTGATTGGTGGTTGCTAGGGGGTTGCTATAGGTCCTCACTTAGCCTGAGTCAGGGACACCCGGCTCTGCAGATCTCTCCTGTTATTTATAGATAAACAACTCAGCAGGGTGGGTGTGTGCCTAGGAGTGCTCCGTTGGCTTTTCCAAGGACAAGGGCCACGCCCCGTTCCTTGGACAGGCTTTGCTCTGAGGTAGAGGCTGGTTTCTCATTACATACTAGGAGCTGTTTCTCCAAAAGCCTATAATTCTCTGCGGCAGATTATGGCCTTGCTCCAGAATCCCAGGAGGATGTATTATGCTTCTTCCGCTGGGGCTCCCCATAAACTCCACCCCTCATCTTTCTCTTTTACTATAAAGTCTGACACCTAAGAGTCTGTTGGACTCTGGCCCAAGTGGCAAGGCTTATTGCCTTGTAGTCTGGACCTGTTATGAAGCCTTTTCTTGCTCCAGGAATTACTCTACACCAGCACTTTGCAGTGTCACCCAGTAAATGAGTTGGAGCAGTATATCTAAGTATGACAAATGTTGCCTCCAGCAAGAAAGCCTAGAAGGAACTTTGCTTCCTCTTTTGAGGTAGAAGATACAAAATGTAGCAATTTGTTATCTACATTAGAAAGACTATCTTGCCATCCCCCTGGCCCGAAGACATCACTCAAGCTCACTTCACTAAATCTTTGAAGGGTTTATCTCTCACTCTGTTACTGAGACCTCCAGCAACTAAGACACTTCTTACTTGTCCTGCCTAATCAGCATGATGTCATTAATGTAATGGATTGGTAAGATGTTCTGTGGGATGTCTCAGGTTTATATCTCTTTGGACTGCATTACGGGAGAGGGCAGGAAAGTTAATACAGCTCTGAGGCCAAGATGAAAATGAATATCGTCTCACACAAATGTGAACTGTTTCTGATCTTTCATAATCAGAATTGAGAAGAATGAATTTGCTAAATCAGTGGCTGCACAGCATATGCCCAAGGGCTTATTAATTGTTTTAGCAATGATATCCTATCTGGCATAGCAGCTGTGATTTGGTTTCTAGGTGGATGAATTTGAGATAATCTGTGATTATTTTTCAGGATCCATCTGGTTTCTGCAGGATCCAGACTAATGAATTAAACTGGTACTTGAGAAGAACTTCCACCCCTGTATCCTTTAGATCTGTAATGGCATTTATATCCTCCTCCAACCTGGGATATAATATTTTTCCTTACTATCTTTGCTTGGGCTGGGGGCACTTCAGAGGCTTGATCTTCCCCATTATGATAGCTGCTATCCCTTAAGCCAAGGATCCAATGTAGGGTGACTTCAACTGTCAAGTATGTTGATTCTAGTTATACACAGGGTCTGTGAAAATGCTCACTGTGTGGGTCTGGGGACACAGTGGTCCCATGGTAAGCATGACTTTAGCAAAGACTCCATTTATAACCTGGCCCCCTTAAGCTCCCACTGTAACAGGAGGCTGTAATCATGCTTTAAATCTTTGGATATCAGAATTTACCCAGACCTGGTCTAGTAGTCATGAAAATTGGCATTTCCCTTTCTCCAGCTGTTGGTCTTTCCCCAGCTGTTGGTCTCTTTTGGAGAAAAGATTGGGAATTCATTACAGTGTATGTGTTTCAGTGTTATAAGTTATTTCCTTGTAGGGACCTGGCCCCCCTTTTCCATCAATGGGATGGATAGTGCCGTGTGTGTGTGTGTGTGTGTGTGTGTGTGTGTG